TAAATAACACACATCTTTTATTCTCGTATTGTTGTATGAGAAGAACATGCTAGAGACAAAATACGACGCGCGACGATACGTTTCCAAATCTGACTCTTTACGAGCGTTCTCTCTAATAATGCACATCTTAACTATACGTTTCTTTATTTTTCAATATGAAGCAAAAAAGCCAGAGAGTGTATCTCTAGATAACTTTGGTGAAACTTGAAACTAGTTTCGCAAGGATGAAATACCGGAATCTTATTTGTCGTAGATTCAGCCGTTGTAAATCCGATTACGAGTAAATTTCGAGCCGTTTCGTTGGCTCTCGATGTCATTGAGAGTCATTTCTATTTTTACGGCTCCGTAAATTGTACGAAAGGATTAAGAGCGATTCCATTGGCTTCCTTTTCAATGCCTTCTTCGAGTAGCCGGCTTGTTGTCGAGACTGCACAGCGCTCTACGAGAGGATTAAACCTTCCTATTGATCCCGTTCAATGGATTCGTGCCCTTTCACGTGCCAGCATTCGTAATGTTTTGACATCCTTTACGCTCGTCTCTTCGCCTCTCGCTTGCTTCCTCAATGCTAGGAATACATCTCTCCGTGCCTTTCATTCAGTATCCGCAATAATAAAATTAATTTTCCTCGCGATGAAATATATACGAAAAAATTATTTTCTTAAAAATTATTATTTCTTTTAAGATATTGGTTTTATTTTGCCAGTAAGAACTCTTGTAAATACAATAGGTTAATAATTCTTATTCTATTTAATAGAGAACGATGACGACGATGATGCCGAAAATTTCTTCTTAAACTCGTCGCAATACTTTGATGAAAAGTTGCTTGACAAAATTTTGTCCAGAAACAAGTAAGTACGTTATTAAATGAGGAGCAGACTTTCAAAGTGCGTTTTGTAAGTCCAAAATTTGTAATTTTCAGAAAACGAGAAAGAAAGAAACTCCGCACTCAAGAAAAAATTACGCACTTTACAGAAAATAACAATATGCCAATCAGTAGAATGTGAAATATTAAACATAATTGCTAAACAATTGCTAAAAATGTTAAACAAATGCATTTTGTTTGTCTCTAGTTAAAAAACATAATGAACTTCGAAATATCTATGTTTTTTTAGCATATAAATCATCCATGAAAAAATTCTTTCTGAATATCTCAGAGTAGCTTATAGTATGAGTCTTTCAACACTGAACACTACGCCATCTCTAATTAAAAAAATGAAATTTTGGATAAAACGCATTTTGAAAGTCTGCTCCTCAAATATAGTATTTCAAATGTTCTATCTGTCTAGATTGAATAGTAAAAAATTGAATATTTATTTACTATAGAACAGGGAAAGTACCAAAGATATTTTATGGATCGCGAACTCACGGGCAACTCGAGCAGGTAGTTAAAGAATTTAAGAAGACCGCGTACAGGCATAAGAGGTAAAAGAACATGCGAAATATTCGTTCTATTAAATGAATGTATAATAAATGAGTCTTTCTCTAGGATGACTATATTGAGCAGCCGAAAAAAAACGTGCATTCAGGAAACTGATAAGAACAAGGACAAATTGTGTAACGAATTACTTGATCCTAGACTTAAGGTTTCTATAAATGTTATACCGTATTCACAGAAGTTAAAAGTTAAATAATTGGGTATAATTACATATAATGATATTATTTATACACGTAGGTTAAAAAATGCAAATATTATAATGACCAAGTAAAGAAGAAACCGACAATATTTAGTAAACTGGACACGCCTTGGGATATTGAAGACTTGGTGTCATTAGGCAAAGAAGTCGACGCCTGCCCATATTTCGGTGCAAGAACTTTGATGGCCGACGCAGAAATCATCTTTTGTCCGTACAATTATATCGTGTATCCAGAAATTCGCGAGAGCGTAAGCAAAATTAAATTATTATTAATTAAGTATTTAGAACTAGTAAATGATAATTGTATTAAAAATGCTTCATCAATAGGAACGCTTAATAGTTTAAATCTCTTCATCTTAAGTGCATAAGTGCACATACTCTTTTCTACAGTATTAAGTATTTAACAATAGACGTAATTAATAATTATATAATTAAAATATATAGATGCAAATCAATCTAAGAGGTAATATCGTGATTCTTGATGAGGCTCACAATATCGAGAATATATGTCGAGAAGCTGCCACTGTGAATCTCAGAGATGACAAGCTCACAGTTGCCGTTAAAGAATGCAAACATTTTTTGGACATGGAGTATAAGAGTATCACTTACGCTATCATACACGAATATCTCACGGATCTTATAAAATTTATGAATGATGTTGAAGTCAAAGATAATGTGAGCATATATATTTATCAAATAATAAAAAATTGATTTTTATTCTTACATTAATTTTGTGCGTTTTTATAATTTATTTAAACTTTCATTTCGTATCTTATAGGTATTTATTAACATATTATGAAATAGTTATAATCGTTATTTTTACTTATTATAGTATGTATACACTTTAGGATCGTAACGAAATGGTCAGTAAGCATTGGATTGGTTCCGTATTCCGAGAATTGCTCGATGTAAATAAGGTCGGATGTTCTAGATTTTCCAATTTTATTGCTGCCAGTAAGGTGGCTATAGAAGATTTCAAGCAGAATATGAAAGAAGAGAATCCTAAAAAGACAAAGCCTACTATTTCGCAAGACAGTAAGAAACTTCTTGAGTATCTCTGTTTCGCTATGCAAATGATTTCATCAGATAAGGTTGACGACTATAGGATGTATATCGTAGAAACGAATGAATTTATTGAAAAGGTATGTCTGAGCAATTCGTCTGTGTAATTACGATCTAATAATTGTATCAAACATCATGTAATCATTTTTATCAGGTAACCGAAAATAGCTGGAGCTCATTAACAACCAAAAAACTGACCAAAGTACGAACTGTGATACTGAAATGTATGAATCCAGCTATAGTTTTTGCGCCTTTGGCTCATGAAGTTCGTTCTGTGATACTTGCTTCAGGTACTTTGACGCCAACTGTGTCGTTTCAAAGCGAACTCGGGACGAAATTCCCGCATATAATCAATCCTGATCATGTTATACCGAAGAATCAATTATATATAAGATACATAACACAGGGATTAAATGGAAAACCTTTAAAAGCCACATATGATCAGGTGAACACCTGGGCTTTTCAGGTAACGAGAAACGGATTGTTAATGATTTTATTTTAGATATATTCACGCTATATGTATGCGAATATCTGAACAATTCTCATCCTAACAGGACGAACTCGGTAATTTGGTTCTTAAGGTATGTGACGCGGTGCCATATGGTGTACTATGTTTCTTTTCGTCCTACAAGGCAATGAATACCATACACAATAGATGGAAGAATAACGGCATATGGGACAAACTCTCCAAATTGAAGACAATTTTTGTGGAACCGAAAAATGAAAAAGATTTAAACCCAGTCATGAGAGCGTATCGTAGTGTGATTGAAGAATCGTCATCTGAATCGTATCGAACAGCATGCGGAGCTATCTTCTTTGCAGTTTTTAGAGCAAAGGTGGCGGAAGGAATGGATTTCAGCGACAATGAGGCTCGTTGCGTATTAGCAGTAAGGAACATTTTTAATATTGATTTTATTTATATGTCACACATGCACATATACAGAGTGTCCAAAAAATTCCAGGACATTTGAATATCATGGTAAGTATAAGTATTACAGAAAAGTGTTTCAGACAAAAGTTGTAGGGTTCAAAAAGATCTATTTACTATTCACATCTGTTTGACCTTGGGTGGCGTTGCCAAGGTCAGATCAAGATCACATCAATTTTTTTAAATGGAACACCCCATTTTTCATTGCATATTCTTATAGCACATCTCGAGAGCTTTCCAAAACACTATAATAAAATATTTTTTCATTAAGTACTTTTCGAGTTATGATGCTTGAAAGTTACAGTATCGCCGGCGTTAACATTACTCAAGGTGTCCGACCGACGGCTAAAACCTCTTCAATGTTGTTCAGGATCATGACCTGAATGACATTTGTTAAGATCAAGGCCATTGGAGGTTGTACCTCTTATTTTCATTTCTGCACTAAAAATTCATTTCTACGCGTTTAGCTCTCGAGATGTGCTATACGAATATGCAATGAAAAATGAGGTGTTCCATTTAAAAAAATTGATGTGACCTTGACCTGACCTTGGCGACGCCACTCAAGGTCAAATGGATATGATCAGTAAATAGATCTTTTTGAATTCTACAACTTTTGTCTGAAACACTTTTTTGTATTATATTTATACTTTCCATGATATTCAGGTATCCCGGAACTTTTTGGACACTCTGCACGCACGCACGCACGCACGCACGCACGCACGCACGCACATTTCTAATATTATATCTTTACATCTATTAGATTGGCATACCGTATCTTTTACAAAGCAGTGATGTAATCATGAAAATGGAGTATAATAACTTGAATAAATCCAATGAATCTAGACAGTTGTTATCTGGCAGCGAGTGGTATACTATAAATGCGTTTAGGGCGCTAAATCAGGCAATAGGTCGTTGTGTCAGGCATAAAAATGATTGGGGTGCTGTACTACTAGTAGATAAAAGGTATGTAGAGGTATAAATATTTAGAAATAGTTCAAACTTAATATTACATTACAATTTATATAGATTCGAGCTGCAACAGAACATAAACTATCTACCAAAATGGGTAAAATTAAATGTATGTCTCAATAAAAGTAAGCTATATTTGCAATCTATAAGTACTTATAATTCACTTATATTACAGATAAGATGTAACCAGATTTTCAATCTGGAAATAGAACTTCAAGACTTTGTAGTCATGCAAGCTGCACGTGAAAAAGAAAAAGAAAAATTATTAGAAAATTAAGACTTTCTTTTAGAATATATATAACGAGATCTATATGCGCTGAATAAGGAACTTTTTTTATCAAAAATGGTTTACAAACAATTATAATGTTATGTACTTAAGCATTCTATTTACATTATTTTATTTAATGTTACATATTAGTTGTATCTCTCTTTTCAATCATTCTTAATTGTTTTTTCTTCATCCTTTTTATCTTTGCAGTATTTTTAATCTGAAAATGACCATACAATAAGAGTTTTAAAATATATCCAATAAATGTATGCCTTGTTATAAAAATGATATCAACATTTACTTACAATTTGCACAATTTCACTCTTTTTTCTATTTTCCTCCGCCCTTTTTAGATTTTCTCTCCTTCGTTGCTTTTTGGCCTCCTTTTCTGCTTGCTTTTGTGCCTTGATTGCCCTTGACATCTCTTTAACGCGTTTCAGATCTTCTCTCAACTTTTGTTTCTTAGCGAACGACTGTCGAATTCCACGCGTTTTAATTATAGAAGAAAATCTGCAAACGAACATTTGCGTCACTAATTTATAATTTTTTATGTTCAGAAAAACGTTAAGAATAGTTAATTATTATTCGGCAGAAATTTAAAAAGACATTAAAATTTTTGTTCTATTAACTGAAATTATATTGAAATTACATGAATGGGATATTGGATAGTTCAGTACTGGAGTAGTTTGTTGTCAAGTAAAGCTTCTTGGAAAAGAAAAAATTTGGAGAAAATCGAAATTTTAAACAATGACTAGACTTTAAAATAAAGCTTCAAAGTGGAAATTTGTCAAAGAACTTGCAATTCTTTGTTAAAAATTACAACTGTAACGAAACTAGGAAAAAATCAAAGTCTAGATCATGATTTTTCTGGAATTGTAACAGTTGAAGAATTGATAACTGCTGAAGAATTATATTGTGGATTATATTATTGTTATTGAAATTGTAACTTACTTCGTTTTTTCTTCCTTCCATATCCTACCAGATTTTGGTTTGCCTCGCGGAATATGTTGTCTCTCGGGTTTCTCGGTATTATTAGGCAACGGCTCTGGTGCAGGTTTATTCAGCACCGATGCTGTATTCAATATATCTTCCATACGCGTTACTTTTTCGTCGCAGAGTTTTGCCATTGTTCGGAAGTATTGACAAAACGTGTACTTATGAAATGCTACGGCACGTAAACAATCTTCTTATAGGTTAGTTTAGTGTTTAGTTCGTCAGATCGTCACATTGCATGGAGAAGCGGACGATAAGTGAAGCACAATCGTCACGCCGAAACTACATTACCAGCGATCGAAAATGTTAGAATACTAAAAAATGTAACACAGAAAAAAAACGACTATTTAATAATTATTTTTTTCCATCTCTGTTCTCTATTTCTTACTTAGCATCTCATTTATTAAACAACGTACTTTATTCACAGTGGTTCAAAATCACTTGGGTACGTATGTTAAATTGTTGTGAGGAGTGTATTAATTAAATTTCTTTCGATGAAACTTTCTTGAGATTTTGAAATTAATTTTTCTATCTCCGAAAGAACCATTATTTGTGCAACTATTACACTTTGTATAGTTTTTAATTTTGGCTTGATGAAAATTTTTCACAAAATTTTTATTTTTGTGTAATTTTATAAAAATTTCTGAAATTTTTTTATATGAATTGGAACATTTTTCAAAAGTACCGAGAAAGTTTATTTTCTAGAGGATTTTTCATATATATATATAAATTCTGAAGTATATATTCTAAAATTTTTGAGATTTTTCATTCTATAATTTCTAAAGAAAATTTATAAACTTTGAATTTTATCAGAAATTTTCATGAAAAATTTGACATAAAAGATATAACAAATTCTTAAAAAAGATATGAGAGATGAGGATTTTTTTCATTAGAATTGTTTTTACAGATAATCAAATTTCTTGAGTACCCTGTATATCGATGGACGTGAACTCTATTCTATCAGGTGGTATATGTATATACCATCATATAGTAATAATTCATTCAAAAACTACTGTTAATCTATACGCGTATATTACATAGGGTGCGCAGTTTCCGAGTTACGCATGAAACGCATGATGTATCGTTTTATCCTTCTTTATTATTTGGTGAACAACAAGGACAAACGATGCATCATGCACTTCATGCGTAACTCAGAACGCACCCATAGAGGGCTAATGGTAGCACAATTTTCATTTTAGTCATACAGTCATACATATGCATTTGTGTTGATAGTGGAGTTACTATTTTCTTTGTGTAAAAATATAGTTTTTAAAGGTTCAAACTACCAGAATTTTCATACAACAAATTGACAATTATAAAACTAAATACGTGTATTAAGGATAATGGAATCCTTACAAGAAATTTCTGAATATTTAAGCCCTAATACCCGATTAGATGTAAAAGTCTGTGCACTAAACCACGTGCTCCGTATGTAATTTTTATATATTTTATATATTTTACTACTACGTTTGTTCACTTTACAAAAGCCTCGACAAATTATTCAAAATGTACACAGGTGTGACGGCGACTACCGATGGCCGAGAACTCTTGTTGAAGCTACCAGAAATGTTGATAAAACTTGTTACCTTTGTACAAGATTCTTGTGCTGCCATTAGCAAATGTGCTGCACAAATATTAGTAAATATTACTGGAGATGAATCAGGAACTAATGCAATGTTGATTATTTCAGAGTCAAGTTACTCAACAGAGATCAATAAGTCTGGTAAGTAAAACGTTAGCGATATAGTAGCACATCGCGATAGCAGATTCAATTAATTCACATCAATTGTATTTGCATTAAACTTCTGTTCTATCAGCCAAACTTTCGATAATTTGATGATCTGACAAATTGACATAAAACGAGACAAATTTGGTTATTTTATAAATAAAATATTTTGAATAGTTACAAAATGAGATTCTTTTTGGTTGTGATGGCAAATGAAATTTGTAGCAGATACTTTACACAGTTTATTTTTGACAGATTTGGTTACCCAAGAACCTAATCAGAATTTAATAAAAGTTTGTTTGAGGTAATATATTATTGTTTATTTATTGCTGTTTTATTCTATTTGTATCAAATATTTTACATGTTATTTTTACAGGGCTATAATGGATAAATCTAGTATTATAGCAGATCTATGTTGTATGATACTTTCTAATATGACTAGACCGTTTCATTTAATAGATAGAACGATAACACTTATTGAACAAAGTGGTTATTCTTGGGATGAAATATTATCTGTATTTACTACAAAACAGTACAATACTAAAGGCGATAAATTGCATTATCTTGGACCTGTTTTTAGTAATCTTACTCGATCGCCACGTATAAGAAGGTATCATTTAATTGATTTTTTTTTTCACTAAATTATATTGTAAATAAATGTGTTTTATTATAGGTATTTGATGGATCGACATCGTTACGTTATTCAACGGATCCTTCCATTCACAGAGTATTCTGACAGTCTAATTAGACGAGGTGGTATTGTTGGTACTTTAAAAAATTGCACTTTCGACACAGAAAATCATGTGTGGTTGTTAAGCCCCGAAGTGGATTTATTATCATATCTGTTATTACCACTTGCTGGTCCAGAAGAATTTGACGATGAAGATATGTCTAAATTGCCAATTAATTTACAGTATCTTCCTGAAACAAAAATTCGAGAGACTGATCCAGATATAAGGTAAGTTATAGATTAACAAAGGAATGATTCATGAAATTAATGCAAGTAGACAATATTATTATTATTATGTTATTTCAGACTTATGCTTTTAGAAGCATTAAATCAATTCTGTGCAACAAAAGTGGCTAGAGAAATGCTGAGAAAAGCAAATACGTATCTCATACTTAGAGAGCTTCATAAATGGGAAAAGGATAAGAACTGCTTATTGGCATGTGAAAATGTCGTGGATATTTTGATAAAGTAAATATTTATGATATAAAATAAAATTTCACGTCCAGTTTAATTGTAATTTTTTACATAAAAGAAATTTGTATTTTTTTATTACAGAACTGAAAAAGAAATCGGTTTGGACAACTTGAAGGAAGTAGAAGTGCCGTCTGCATACACGGAGATGTTCCATAAAATGGATAAAGAGTTTATTAGCAATACATAGTGCAAAAAATTATATTATAAGTACATATAGGATGTATCAAAAGTTCGGTAATGGTCGAATATCTCAAAAGCAAAGAATTTTTGAGAAAAATGTTTCACACAAAAATTGTAGGGTTTAAAGAGATCTACTTACTGATTACGTCCGTTTGACCTTGGAATGCGTCGCCCAAGATTCAGTTAAGGTCAAATCGATTTTTTTTAACGGAACCCCCCATTTTTTATTGTATATTCTTGTAGTTCACCTCGAAAGCTTTTCAAAATACTACAATAAAGTTCATTTTCATTAAGTACTTTTTGAGTTATGAGGCTTAAAAGTTACAGTACCACCGGCGTTAGCATTACCCAAGGTATCCGATCGACGGCTAAAACCTCTTGAATTTTGTTCAGGATCATGCCCTGGGTGACATTTGTCAAGACCATTGGAGATTGTTCCTCTTATTTTCATTTTTACACTAAAAATTAATTCAAACAGATGTGATCAATAAGTAGATCTTTTTAAACCCTACAACTTTTATCTGAAATTTTTCTCAAAAATACTTTGCTTTTGAGATATTCGACTGTTGCCGGACTTTTAATACATCTTATATAATATTCTATAGGTATTGCACATACAGTGTATACATAATACTTATCTAATGAAGAAACGAACATAAAAATGGTAATTTATAATACATTCGATTCTTCGTATTTCTCGTATTGCACTGCCCCATATTATCGTTAATAATAAGCTATCAGGTCAACGTAGCAAATAAAAATACTCAACTTGATCTTTATCGCTTACAGTAAACACTATAAAATTAGAATAAAGTATATATAAATAATTTTTCATTTACTGTAATTTACGCGCTAAAATCTCTCAAGATGAAAACAGGTACAAATAAGTAGTTGCATATTATTTATCGAGAAACGACTAATTAAATCACGATATGTTCGTAAATAATCCTTTTTCGATTATAGTGCGAAATGGCAAGATGTTACACGAACACGTATAATATCATAATATTAAATATTAAATATGCGAAATTATATCGTTGGGGATAATTTAGATACTTTCATCAAGGTAAATAGCCCAGTCCAGCTTCGAGACTAATCGAACTTCTTGTGCTCGACGCGTTACTAGTTCTTCTTGAAACACGATTGTTCTCGCCTGCACCAAAAACCGCGGCGATCTCTGCGCTTTTTTTTATGGAGAGTGCTTCGTGATGCGCTCCGGATCTCCCGTTACTGCGAGAGGAATACTTTTTATCTCGTTCCGCACCACCGACGTAAACCAAACGACCTTGAGTATCCCTGGCGCTGACCACGAGGACTTTTTCGCTGCCGGATGACTGCTGAGATCTTCTCCCTGGGCTAAAGAGATCGTAATCTAAGGCTAAGTTATCCGAACTACCGCAAGCTGGCGATGATCGATTCTGCAATAGAATTTGTGCAAAAAAATTAATATGACTGTAGAATTAAAATAAAATGAGATTAATGGCTAACATAAAATTCCTTAGTTACCTTGAGGAAGTCGGTGTTGCGCGATGAACTGTGACTACCGGCCAATCTCGAACCTCGAATCCTTTCGGAACTGTCTCCTCTGCTGAGTGTGCTCTCCGATGGCACGATTCCCTTCTGCCTGAGTTGCTCCAGTATAGTCGGTTGTATTGGCTTTCTTGCGCAGTAACACTTGTTGCTCTCGGAGCAACTGTCAGTGTCGCAGGCGCAAACAACCGTATTTCCTGGTACAGGCGTAGCTTGTACCCTTCTAGACAACGAGCAATAACACTTATCCGCTGACACGCATGTACAGGACTCGGAGTCGTAGCTGCATTCGCTGCAGCTCACGTATCCGCTGCTGCTCCTGTTCGCAGTGGCACCCATGCTACGATTGAGTCGTCTACCTGCGTAGTTTTTTATAATTATATTATTTATCAATAAATATTATTGAGATTCATAGATGTTTTGTTATTATCATATTGTTATATTGTTATTATACAATAATATATATTTTATTATTATTATTATTATATTATTCTATTGTTGTAATATACGTTTTTTACGTTTTACTTGGTTACATATAGAAAAAGGAAGCTACCAAAGATCTAGACATAATGAAGATTAAATTTGGATTTTAATTATAAGAAGACTAATTTTAATTACAATATTTCTACGTACATGTATCGCTATCTTCTGAAGTCGTGTGACATATTCCATTCTTGCTCGTTCTCCGCGAAGATTTTCTTCTACCGAGCCTACTCGCCAGTACACGATTTCGGTGATTATTTCTGACATCACACGACGAACTACTGCCAAAACTATCATTCAATCTCCTAGCTGGGAATATTACGGAGGTGAACTCCGTGGGACCACCTTTCAGTCTCGAGACCGACCTCTTTATGGCCCTGCCTAATAAACAAGATCGTCGGCTCGATCTTCGTCTTTGTGGTCTTCGTCGTCTCTTCATAATACTGGCGGATCTCTGATACAATTCATCTTGCGTTAAAGTTGCGGCTAGTTTCAGTAAGAACTCCTTGTAGAGCGGTTTCAGATCGTTAAATGACATACCTTCTGGATCTGGGAAATCAAGAAAATAATTAGATCTAAATCCTTTTTATTTAATTACATTATTGTTTTACATAGATTATTACCTATTATGGCTGCCAAAATGTCATCTACACTAGTCAAGCCCTCTTGATTCCTGAATTCGTCAAATAGCTCCGTGAATCCAAGTGGAGTGCCTCCTTTGATGTTATTGGTTCTCCGAGTGCTTCCGGAAGTCAGGAAACTGCCTCTCCTAGGTAATTCAACCCTTGTCATCAGGTCTCCTCTGTCCACGTCTACGTCGCTCTGTGATCTCTTCAGGGCGTTCTCTTGCAGGATTCTGTTCGCGTTCTCCGAATGGCTGACGGGTGGCTCGCTGCCCGCTCTGCTTCTTCTTCTCACCCGAGGACGATTGCACTCCGGCATATTCAGCGAATAATCAGGATCTAATTCTTTTCTCAACGGTTTATCCATTGTGACGATTCGGTTAATTTTTTTGCCGGAGTACGCCCTCTCCGGATCCCTCGAGCGTCTCTGCTGATTTATCGTGCCATCCGAATGTTCGTGATGCGACTGATAATGTCCATTATTCTTCAAATTCTTTGCGAAAAAGATGTCTTCTTGACAACTTCTTATCTGACTGTTTCTGTTCTTATCCGTGTAAATGTCCTCCGTACCGAGACTGTAGATCTTATCAGCGTCTTCAATTTGCGGACTGTAAATATGTTTTTCCTTCTTTTTTCCAACTTGCTCGTAAGCGGAGTTTATCTCGTTTCTTTCGATTTTATTAACCTTATCATATATCAAAATGCTGTCGGTTTCGGGAGAGTACAATTCGCAATTCCTGGCATTCGCTCGATTCAAAGCATACGATCCGTAATTTCTATCATAAATATTATCTTTCATGTCCGCTGATTCCCTCCTCGGATTGTTTCGTTTGTGCAATTTTTCGTATTTGTTCGACTGTCTGTCATAAATTCCATTCGTATCGTTATCAGGAGCACTGTAAATTTTATCAAGCTTGTTAGATTCTATCTCGATTCTCAAGGAATTCTGATCCTTAGCGGAAAACATCTTGTTCTTCGAATTTTGTAGCTCCTCATTTCTAGACAATACGATATCTCGATTGTTCTGTCCCAGATTGTTCTTCTCGCTCTTGGCATTGTCTCGTCTTCTTCCGCGTGCCTCAAGGATGTCTTCCGCTTTCACGTCGGAATTCTTCTTTTTTCTACGTGGTATTTTCTGCAAGCTAAGTTTTCCGCCTTCATCCTCAGTAACGGAGCTGCTCACAGAAGTCTTTTTGGTTCTGGGTGGTCTCACAGGATGCGGTGCGGTTGGTCTCGGTGGCGGAGATAGCATGCAACTGATTCTACTGCTGAGACTAGGCTCTCGAACACTGGAAACAACGGAGGCCAGACTGACGCATCCGACACCATTCGTGTGACGAGGTCGTCGTCGGTTCGCGTCCAGATCAGCGAGAAGAGCGCGATACAACGTGGCCGCGGCTGCTATTGCGTCTTCTTCGCATTCGCAAGCGAACGCGTGACACTCCAAGAGCCTGGCAGCCCCAGGTCGTCGCATTACCACGGCGAAGATCGGAGGATAGAATTCTACTTCACTTTTCAAACCGCGCATTGTCCTAAAAATAGAACCAAAATTAAAAATCTATTTCAGATACTTAATCTTTAAACATGCAAATATGTTTTAAACATTAATATAATAAGCAATAAATCTTTGAGTTTCAAAAAATCAACTATAAAAATACATTACGGTATTAATTATAATAATATCCACCTGTAGAGATCGGCGTGCTTGTCTTCCATCGTCTGTCCCTGGTCCTGATCGCCAACCAAAGGTAAGAAGGCGTGATGTACATCGCCCGATGGTATTCTCTTGCATCGAAGCCGCAAGGCACTCCATACCGCTATTCTGCGGAAAGGATTATTCTTTTCGCAGACTTCGCTCGTGCGGAACGTTAGTCCGCGCCTAGAGACCTCCAGCTCGGCCCTCACGCATCCTTCCATGCGTTCCAATAGCTGACGAAGAGGTTCCTGAAGACCCCGGACGCTCGCCACGCGTCCGCCGACTGGGGCAGCTCCCATGTATTTTACCTGTATGAAAATGCAAAATATTTTAATTATCCCAAAGAATATAATTTTAATAGAGAAAGAAAAGCTCAGAAAAAATAATTTAAAATACAGCTGGATATATCTACTTTTTATCGTCTGAAATATGCATTTCGGTATGCTCACTGAGAATAAGAAGTCAATATGAAATTTTGAATAGCGTCAAAATTTTTATTTACTTCAAACAACTACATTGTGAAAGACTGACGTGTTCATGTAAAAATAGCGTTTGACAAAAAGAGCATGCATTCTTTTTGCATGTCTGAAAGCAGCGGGAACCTGTTTTGCACGATGGTCAATATCGAAGATAAACAGGTAAAGTCATTAAACGGGAATTTTATTGCACAATTTGAACATTTTTAAACTAGTCTCTCTGAGAAATTTTTTATTGCGTCGCCACTTATTTATTTACTGCCGCTTTTAATATCTATTCTGGAATGTATTAAACATTATAATATATGTATCTTATAATGTATATAAAACTTGAATGGTGCTTTACATAGGATTTCGTTCCTGCGACGAAAAATAATGATGTTAGATTTTGTCATAGAATTATCTTATAATTATCTATAAGGTGAAATTTAAGATTCGAGTTATGTAGAGGGAGGTGTGACTCTTAGCCGCAAAGAAGAGATAGTCAATGCTTTTGACTATAACAAGCAGCTATCGTGTCGTTCTGATCGAATG